CCAAACAACAATGACAACTACAACCATAAAATAGCTGGGCATTGTGGTGGGCACCTGTAGTCCCAGCTACTTGGGAAGCTGAGGCAAAAGAACCACTTAAGCCAGCGGTTCTCAACCTGCGATCCACAGGAACTGTATTAAAGGGCTGCAGCATTAGGAAGGTTGAGAACCACAGGCTTAAGCCCAAGAGTCTGAGGTTGCTTTGAGCTGTAATGCCACAGCACTCTACCAAGGGTAACACAGTGAGACTCTGTCTCGGAAAAAAAAAAAAAATCTTCACCTAGGTTTGCATAGTAAAAGAAAATAAAAATGAAAACATTCTAGTCTCTTGGTTCGTTCTGCCTGGGTTTTGTCCTACCTTTCTGGCCATTTTTTTGTTTGTTTTGAGGCAGAGTCTCAAGTTGTTGCCCTGGGTAAAGTGCCATAGCATCATAGCTAAAAGCAACCTCCAACTCAGGCTCAAGCCATCCTCTTGCCTCAGTTTTTCTAGTTTTAGTAGAGATGGGGTCTCACTTTTGCTCAGGCTGGTCTCGAACTCATGAGCTCAAGCAATCCACCTGCCTTGGCCTTCCAGAGTGCTAAGATTACAGGCATGACCATACCAGGCCTTTCTGGCCATTCTTTTCTGCCTTCCTGACTTTTAAGTGTTTCAGGGACCAGTCCTAGGTCCTCTTTTTTTCTTTCTTTTTTTGAGACAGAGCTTCACTCTCACTCTCAGTAGAATGCTATGGTGTCATAGCTCACAGCAACCTCAAACTCTTGTGTTCAAATGATCCTCTTGCCTCAGCCTCCCAAGTGAGTAGCTGGGACTACAGGCACCTACCCCATGCCCAGCTATTTTTCAGGATGGGGGTCTTACTCTTGTTCAACAGGCTGGTCTTGAGCTAGCGAGCTCAAGCCATCCACCCACCTTTGCCTCCCAGAGTGCTGGCCTAGGTCATCTTTACTGAGTATTCTCTTGCCTCTGGCATACTTGTCCATTCCTGTGGTTTCATCTACCACCCATGTCCAAGTTTCAAAACTGCCTGCAGGCCAGGTGGGTCTTTGGAGCCCTAGACTTAGATATTTTCTCCCTTAAGATGCTGCACAGGCTCCTTAAATTCAAAATATCCAATATCCTTCCTCCAGCATAGTCCAGCTTAGGTAATGGCACTGAAGCACCATAATACCCCCCTTCCCCTGCATCTCCCATCCCCATATGCAGCTAAGCACCAAGACCTGTCTGGACACATTCCACATCAGTCCACCTATCCACCAGGCCTGGGCCCTGGTGTGAGCCACCATGAGGATTGCTGCAGTAACTGGGCCCACTGCTTCCTTTCTTCCTCCCATTCAGTCTAGTTCACAGTGGCCAAAGTCATCTTAAAATACAAATTCGTGGGCTGAGCGCAGTGGCTTATACCTGTAATCCCAGAACTCTGGGAAGCCAAGGCGTGTGGATCACCTGAGCTCACAGGTTTAAGACCAGCCTGAGCCAGAGTGAGAACTTGTCTCTAAAAATAGCTGGGCATTGTGGCAGGTGCATGTAGTTCCAGCTACCTGGGAGGCTGTAGTAAGAGAATTGCTAGCACCCAAGAGTTTGAGGTTGCTGTGAGCTATGATGCTAGGGCACTCTACTGAGGCGACAAAGTGAGACTCTATCTAAAAAAAAAAA